TCAAACTTCTTATAAGATCTACACCTTGTAGAAGAATTTAATCAATACAAAACATGGGCTATGAAAGTAGAATAATAATGATAATCGGACATGTAAAGGCAGGATCACACGATATTAAATTCAAGAAATAAGAAAACCTTAATCGAACAGAAGTAAAATTGCAGGAAATTAAAAATGAACACAAATGAATTATTTCGGCCTAAGCCCCGGAGGTTCGGCGACTACTTCTAACGCCTACATCCCCCGTTGAGCATCCAAAGATTTGGATTATGCTCGGTTGCATTTAACAGCCCAAAATGACAACAAATGTTACATATTGTTCAGAGAGATGAAAATGAGACTTATCTCTCAAGTATAGTTATGGATCTAAGAGATTCACTCAGATCTCAGCCATCAGACCCTTCGAACACCACCACAAGGTTACAACAGAGAAATCACTCAGATTTCTTCACTATTCACATAGAATATTACAGATCGAAGAAAGATCTCACTATACTATACATAAAATCAGAGATTTAAGCATGAAACACTCAAGGAAATAATCATCTCCCAGATCGCCAACTTTTTCTCTCTGAAAACCCTAGAGACAAAAGTGAAAATGAATATTGAAAGTCAGACGTTCCAGAAGGCTCCGGATTTTTTAATGAAGGGCAGATAAACCGACTCCATCTAACGTCCAGAGTTAGTCCACGTGTTGCCCATCCAATAAGTTGTCACCACTTATTAAGTCGTGTTTCATATAAACACGATTTTGTCACAAGTCAAATTTTGAAAGCACCAATTGAAGAGAACAGGTTTCGATTCCAACAATCTCCACCTTGCTGCCAGAATTTGAACTATTAGTGCAGCCAGGAGCATGATCTTATGTCTTTTTCATTTGCTTCAAGTACCTGTACATAAATCACAAAGAATCAACAGATAAAAGTTTCAAACAGTTTAAAAATTTGTTTAAAGGAATTACTTTTGTACCCATATCAGATGGATTAAACTGAGTAGAAAACATTTCAATCTTAATTTCACCTTTTGAAATTATATGTCTTATATAATGATATTTGACATCAATATGTTTCAATCTATCATGAAACATGAGATTTTTACTTAGGTGAATAGCACTTTGGTTATCAGAAAACAGCACAATGTGATTATTATCAAAACTCATTTCAGACAATAAATCATTCAACCAAATCCCTTCTTTATATAAGAACTCGATAATAGAAAAATGGAATATGAATGTCTATTTTTCTACTAAGCTAAAAGCCTAAAAGTTTCCACAACACAATACTTCATATGTCAGAATACTTCATATGTCTAACAATAAATTCAACCTTAAAACATACAACTGTAATAGTGTAGAATAAGATTCAGACAATTGGACAAAAGCACAAAAACAAATCCAAATAATGACTTCGATTGAAGCATCCTCAAACAGACAGTGGAAAGAAACAATTTCAGGTTATGATTTCTACCTTGGACCTATCAAAATTATGATTTCTAATTTACAAATTCCTCAATTTCGACTCATTTTCAACAGAATCTTACATAGAAGCATTCAAATTCCAGAAAACTGAGAGAGGTAAAAAATTGAAAAATATGTATTCAGAGATGTCGAACGTGATGAGAAGTTGGTGGATTGTGGATACGGAATTCTTTAGGGGACCTGCATCAACAATACAAATATTGTTGTTGCCAGATTTCTCAAGGATACATGAAACACGTTCCTAATCCCTAAGAAAATACATCATATAAATGAATGAGCATGACCTTTAAAGCCAGTTACGGAGCCAGATTACAGAAATCAAGGTCTCATACAGTTACACTTTATGTGCACGAAAATTCAAGAATTCAACAACACTGTCATGCCAAAAAAATGCATAATGTCATGTAAGCATAGATTACCACTTCACCATTTCCATCAAGCAATACAATCAATCATGCATCTGAGAGCACAAGCATCACATTCTACTGACGACTAAGCTTCATACTGTGCAACAGATATTCCATGCTGCTATCAAAATTTCCTCCTGATTTATGTTTAATCATACTTATTATCAGATATAAAATCAAATGCTAGCTGCTGTTATTCAACTGAAACTTACAATTTCTACAAAGGTCAACCACCACATCGTTATTAATTTTTATTCCTACATCATAATATGCCATAATAACCTGCATTTGATCGGTAAAATACTATTGATACCAAATGTGAAATTACTTATCATTGTCAATTTAGCTTCGAGTATTTAATCAACAAGACAAACATGATATGAGCCTCTTTGGTACATCTTTATATAAGAACTCGATAATAGAAAAATGGAATATGAATGTCTATTTTTCTACTAAGCTAAAAGCCTAAAAGTTTCCACAACACAGAATACTTCATATGTCTAACAGTACATTCAACCTTAAAACATACAACTGTAATAGTATAGAATAAGATTCAGACAATCGGACAAAAGCACAAAAACAAATCCAAATAATTGAAGCATCCTCAAAAAGACAGTGGAAAGAAACAATTTCAGGTTAATTAATAAGAAAAATAAAGCTAAGACCATGATAAAACCTGCACAGTCACTAGAATTTACCCCTTGGACCTATCAAAATTATGATTTCTATTTACAAATTCCTCAATTTCGACTAATTTTCAACAGAATCTTACATAGAATCATTCAAATTCCAGAAAACTGAGAGAGGTAAAAAATTGAAAAAGAAAACTTCGCACCTTCAAGCACCGTCGGAATAATGTATTCAGATATTTACTTTTTCCCAATTCCTTTTTATTATCAACCAAATTTTATTGCCGAGCATTTTAGTTAACAAGGGAAAAAGGAATAACGGAGTTTACCAAGACCACGCGGGGTGCTGAAGTGTGTTAGCTTTCGAAGAAAGATCAAAGACCCCATTTTTCCCCTCGTTTTTTGTTCTCAATTTCAGACAATTGAAGGTAAAATCAAGCGGAAATTGAAATCATACGAGAAAAGGGAACCAAAAATGATTAAGAAGAGAGAAGTGAATATCTAACTGTTTTTATTAATGGATTTTGTGGAGCTGAGTAATTTACGTATCTGTGTTCATGGCGCGTTTTCCGACCGCCGTTTCCGGTGTGCTCAAAACAAGTCTGGCATTTGCCTGTGTAATAATCTTGGGTAAAAAGCACACCAGTCACTCAACTTTCAGTCAAATTTTATTTTAGTCATCCAACTTTTTTCCCCCCTAACTCATGTTACTCATCACTGATATTTCTAATCAATTATAGTGCATATTTGAGCAAAGCTTACTGATCAAACATAATTTTTAGTGAAATTCACAATTTACTTCACTTATATTCCAAACTTTTAGCACTTAGAGGCACTCTCAAACAAAGTGTTAGTACGATCATCGATAATAACTTTGTTATAAAAAATTATCTATTTTCATTAACTTTTATTTTATCTTTAGTACGATCATCGATAATAACTTGGAGATTATGGCTTTTCTCTACTAAAATCACTCCAAATTGATTATACAAACATTATAAGAATTTTTAGCTGTCTGGTATTTGTGGAAATCCATAGTTTGATTTTTTTTTTTTTAATCAAGGTTAGTTTCCTAATACGAGTTACTTTAGATAAATTAATCCTAATGAAAATGTCAACTTTTATTTGAATGAAATTACTTGGAAACCCTTTTTCTTATGTTTATTTTCGATCACACATTTTTTAAAAAATAAATTACTTTACTCGTTTTTTCATAATTTTTCGCTACACATTCTTTAGAAAATTAAAATGAAGTACTAAGCCCTTGTTTGGTCCCGTTATATTTCAAATGCATTTTTCTCTCTTTCATTTTCAATTATACATTCTTAAATAAAATAATATTACAAGCAAATTGAAAAATTTTCATATATATTTTTTTACCACACTCTCTCCATTAAATCATTATTCCAAAAATACATTCTTGATTAAAAAAATAAAAATCTCAAGCATGCTGTAAATTTTAAATCCAAATCAACGATATAGAACTTGCAAGTACATTACTTGCCATCTCAGCCAAATTTACAAATAGTGAACAATTAATTTCCACCGACTCAAATTATCAAAAACTGAACTGTGCTAGACGAGCCTACATGGCCCTATCCAAGAAGATTTGTTCATCGGGACTTGTTATAATCTTCAATGAACTTAGTTGACGCTCAATCTCGTCTTTTTCTTGTCAAATCCATGTTTTTACTTTAATATTTTTTTTAAAAAAAGACATGGATAATATAAACTTTTATATATTATATAAAATTATAAAATTAGTAGTTAAAACTAAGAGAACAAAATTAATTTATAATCTCAAAAATGCGTACACATGAAAAATATAATTAGGAATAGACTTTCATATTTATTTTGTTCAAAAAAATCTTCACGCTTTGAAAACTTTTACATCTCTTGCAACTCGACTCGTGAGTTCAACTAATGACCTGGCCAACTATTGCTTATTGAATTGGTACTGAGATTGAATACGATAGCTATAATAAATAGTGCTCTTATTTAAATATTTAATTTTTAAGAAAAGGAATTAATACAGGACTATATTGAATTATTAATGATTTCCTTATAATCTTTGTCCTCTGCCAAACTATTTTTATTTTTAATTTTTTAAATCCCAATTAACTATGCAGTGTACGTCTGTATGAAATACATGATGTTTTTTATATTTGAACTTAAAATTCAATATTTAAAAATGTGGTACAAAATATCCTTTATTGACCAAATTTAAAGTTTAAACTGCCTTTTCTTTTGGTAATTACTCAAAACCATTGATGATTATCATTTTTTAAACATTGATTCAGTGCTCTTGACAAGCTTTCTTTCTTGAACAGAAGTCAAAGACCCACCCATGCATTCTCATTCTTCATTTTAAGGATGTCCCATTGATACCATCGACAAATCCAAGCAACTTGAACAACTCTCCGTTTGGAGAACCAATAGAAAGGACAAGTTAGCTTGACGACTTCTTGATCAAAGAAAAAGAAAGTCTCGACAACGAGAATCACGTACAATTCATTTGGGAAAGGTGTGACAAGTCAATCCAAGTGGTCGTCATAACATGTCCCATATTCATTAATTCATCATTCGTAGTTGCTTAATTACAAGAGATTATACTTTATTCCAACATCAAATATTTTGCAAAAATTGCAATACTTTAAACAAGAGCACCACCTTTGACATACTCAGTTACTGCCAATGCAATCAAACCCAACATGGCAAACCTTCCATTCCACAACTCAGCATCAGACGAAAACACCCCATTCGATTTCGATTCTGCCCTAACCCCTTTGAACAGAGGAATCAAAGAAGCAGCACTTAGCAAAGCAGAAGTCACTATGAACCATTGAATTCCTCCATTTTGTATCTGTGCAAACACGTCCTGACCGTTAGCAAGCTCGACACCAATGGCCGTGACAAACCCGATCATCGCTAGCCGACCGTTGATCCTCTCCGGTCCTGGCCCACCGAAGGCTAGTATGTCACCAAAGTTGGTACTAACCTGTCAATGTTAAAGAATAACTCAGAAACCTGATCGACTAGTGTTTCAGACTATAAGTTGTAAGTTAATCCCCAACCTTTGGTGGAGCTGCTGACTCTGGCTGCTCTTTCTGTTAAATTCAAAGTGAAAAAAATAATTACGTCAATAATTGTATATCAAATGTGTACTTGAAATTTATGCTTGAAACAAGAATTAGTTACCTTGGACATGCTGCTGACTCGAAAATCCACATTCCTCTTGAGACTTGGAACATAGGAGGGTACAACAAACCGTTTCAGGGCAGTTTTGTTTGTAAGTCCCGTGGCTGGGCTTAGTGACATAACGCTTGATACGGCAGCCATGGTGTACGTTCGAGGGGCACGAGAAAATTACGAAGTATACAAAAGTCAGTATCTAAGTAAAGGGAGAGTCGGAGTATTGATACTAAAGATTTCTTAGTATTTGACTTGAGAAGGAGTTGTGGAGTGGAGGTTGGTTTTATAGTGCATGATAGCATGGGTATGTTTCATCTGCAGTCATTGATTTTTTAGCAAAAAATTTA